CCCCCCCCCCCCCCCCCAAACCAATGTGAGATCTCACAATCCACCTCCTTGGGGACCTAGCGTCCTCGCTAGCACACCGTCCAGTGTCTGGCTCTGATATCATTTATAGCAGCTCAAGTTCACTACTGGTAGATATTGTTCGATTTGACTTGTTACATATCACTGTAACCCTCACTATTTTAAAACGCGTCTACTAGAGAGAAGTTTCCACACCTTTATAAGAAATGCTTCGTTTCCCTTTCCAACGGATGTGAAATCTCACACTACCTTACCAACACCTATATTATTACTAAACGAATGACAATAGCAATTTGAGGGAGGGAAAAAGATGAGAGAGAGTCGCAATCCAAGCAAAGGGAAGTCGATAAACTAACCCTAGTTGGCCATCGACTACTCAACACGTATTTAACAACCATTAAAGTCTTAAATTTTCCTTCAACCTTAATTCGAGAGCCTAACGAACTCGGATCAACTTAAATTGATTATATCAGTGTTAAATTTATAACTTAAATAAAAGAACGACAACTATCATTTATCCTTATCTAAAGTCAAGGCGTTACCATTTTAGCGTGGGACTTGAGAGGATTAGCCATTTTGCGATTCCTCGAATTTATGTCAGAATATTCTAATTAAATGCCCGTAACCTCCATTAGGTTATATATCCCTATCATTATAAAAGATAATATTTTATACATACTCTAGTTTTTAATATAATACATAAAATAATAATAACAAGGGAAGAAATTTGTTCCCCTCTGCAACCAATGTGATATCTCACAATCCACCATCTTGAGTTCCTAGTGTCATGGTCCTACTTTACCTAGCATCCTCGCTGGCACACTGTTCAATGTCTAGCATAATATTATTTGTAACAGCCCATGCCGCTAGTAGATATTGTTCCCTTTGGCTCTTGTATTGGTGTCAGCCTCATTGTTTTAAAACACATCTATTAGGGAGAGGTTTCTACGCCCTTATAAGGAATGCTTCTTCCCTTCTCCAACCAATGCGAGATCTCACAATCTAAGCTCCCTTGCTGGCACACCGTCTGATGTTTGACTCTGACATCATTTGTAACAGCCCAAGTTCACCGCTAATAGATAGTCTATTTTGACCCATTATGTATCACCGTCAACCTCACTTTTTTTTAAAACGGGTCTACTAGGGAGAGGTTTCCACACATTTATATGAAATGATTCTATAATAAATAATAATAATAATAATAATAATAAAAAACTTTGTTCCACGTTGCTAAAGCTTAGGAGTGGGGAGTTGGCCTCCCCTATAAAAGGGAGGTCCCCACTTCATTTTATCATCCCTATTGAACAGTTGGAGCCAGATAGGATTAGCCATTTTGCGATTCTTCGAATTTATGTCTGAACATTTTAATTAAACGCTCGTAACCTCCATTAAGTTATATATCTCTCTCATTACAAAAGACGATACAAATGTTTTCAAACAAAAAGAGTAACGATCATTATATTTTATACCTACTCTAGTTTTTAATACCATACATAAAATAATAATAACAGGTGAAGTAACACTATTTTTCTTAGTAAAATAAGTTGGGAGAAATAGCATAGCTTAAAAAAAATGTGACTTTAGAATATGATTAGGTCAAAATATTGGAGTTTTCTTCCCATCGTCTCATCAACGGCAAATGAAAAATAATCTTACAATAAGTTGAGGGAAGCCGGCATAATAATAATCCCTTTGACTTTTCTCTTGAATTATTCCACATTTTCCTTCTCCCTATTCTTCCTATTATACTATGTTATTAAATGTCTTTCTAGAAACACTTCAATTAATTCAATTATGTTAGGCACACATTAATTTATCTATCTCACATGGTCCTAACAACTTGAATTTCACTAAATAAAATGGTTGGTTTCCCGAAAAAAATGCAATGAAATTATGCGTATTCAAAACTTTAGGAAAAAAAATTTAAAATTTTATTGTTAAATTTGATAAAACGAATGTCCACGAAGCATTTCATACATATTTAAATGATCGTCGTATTCGGCTAGTTAATTAAGTTGTTAGATGAACATCGATTCTCCACAATGGTATTAATTTGTCAACTTCATAACCTCTCATGTTTTGTTTTGGGTTTCCACAAAAGGCCTCATGCCAATGGAGATAGTATTATTTGATTATAAATCCATGATTATTTTCTAAATTAGCCGATGTGGGACTTTCATCCAACACCTCCTCTTGAACAAAGTACGCCTCCCCTTAATCGAGGCTCGACTCCTTTTCTTTTGGAGTCTTAGTCCTTTTTTACTATGCCTTCGAGGAGACTCGACTCCTTTTCTTTTGGAGTCCTTCGTTCAACATTTGAGGATTCTATGGACATGGCTAAGCTTAGGGCACGACTCTCATATCATGTTAAGGATGAAGCTCTGATACCATTTGTAACGGCTCAGACCCACCATTAACAGAAATTGTCCTCTTTGGGCTTTCCCTTTCGGGCTTCTCCTCAAGGCTTTAAAACGCGTCTTTAAGGATAGGTTTCTGCACCTTTACGCCTCATGTCTACCTCCCTTCGGAGA